CCACATTTACCTTTAGCCCGGAAACAACCTGAAAACAAGCCAGAATGCACCTTAAATATCTGAGTTGAGACACATCTGCATCACAGAAAACCAGGGTGTCATCTGCAAAAAGTAAATGAGAGATCTCCACCTGATGGTCTATATCTCTTCCCACCCTGAATCCCTTAATGAGACTAAGATCCTCTGCCCAGCACATAAGTCTACTTAAGCCTTCCATAACAATTAGAAAGAGGAAAGATGACAAAAGATCACCTTGTCTTATACCCTTAGTGCACCCAAAAAAACCAGCAGGAGAACCATTCACAAGAATTGAGAATTTGACAGACGAAAGACATGTCTCAATCCATTTCCTCCATCTACTTCCAAACCCCATTCTTTGTAACAAGTAGAGTAGGAAATTCCAGTTCACATGATCATATGCTTTCTCAATATCAAGTTTGCATAAAACTCCAGGAACATCACTTTGTAATCTTGAATTCACACATTCACCTGTAATAAGAACTAAATCAAGAATTTGCCGTCCTCCAACAAAAGCATTCTGGGAATCTGAGATAATCCCATCCATAACTTCCCTCATCCTAAGAGCAAGCACCTTAGCTATGAGTTTGTAAATACAACCCACTAAGCTAATTGGTCGAAAATCCTTAATGTCAGAAGCTCCTCCCTTCTTAGGGATGAGGGCAATGAATGAAGCATTTAGCGACTTCTCAAAGACGCCAGTAGAATGAAACTCCTGAAAGGTACCCATCACCTCATTTCTCACTACCGCCCAACTTTCCAACAGAAACCGCATAATAAACCCGTCAGGCCCTGGAACTTTGTCCCCATTACAACTTGATAAGGCCTTTAAAACTTCTTCTTCAGTAAAAAGAATCTCAAGCCCATCTCTATTCAACTCAAAAATGGCCTCAAAAGGGAGACCATCGAGTTTGGGTCTCCAAGCTAATGGCTCTGTGTAAAGCTTTTGATAAAAAGAGACGATCCCATTATACACCTCTTCCTCCCTCCACAGCTCCACACCTTCCACCCGAATACATCCTATATGGTTACTCCTTCTATAAGCATTAGCTAGTCTGTGAAAAAAATTTGTGTTACAGTCTCCCTCTTTCAACCAAAGAGCCCGGGATTTTTGTCGCCATGAAATCTCCTCCATGCTAGCAATCTCAGCAAGAACTGCCTGACAGGAAGCTCTCCTAGTACATAGTGATTCCACAACCCCGCCCGCCTCCTCAAGACGATCAATCTCGGAAAATTCAGCAAGGACTCTATTCTTCCTCCATTCAAGATTCCCAAAAAAACCTCCTTATTCCATTGCTTAAGATCGAATTTGAGAGCTCTCAACTTCTTTGTTAACATGAAGCTGGGCGCACCTATAGCTATTGCTCCCTCCCACCAAGAACGAACTTTCCCTTGGAAGTCCTCCGCTCTCAACCACATATTCTCAAATCGGAACGAGGTTCTTCGAGAACACAAACCCCACAATCCAACACCAAAGGAACATGATCAGAGGTGACCCTTGCTAAAACCGCCTGAACAACATCCGGGAATTTCTCTTCCCACTCCCCAGAGATCAAAAATCTATTCAATCTTGAGAGTGATTGGATCCCTGCCATTAGACCAAGTGTAGGTTGCACCTTCCATTGGTAGATCAATGAGAAGACGCTCATCAATGAAGTCAGAAAACTGATCCAATTCTGAGGACCTCCTTCCCCCTGTAGACCTCTCTGACGGCGACCTAACAGAATTGAAATCTCCATCCAAACATCAAGGAAGAATCCTTGAACATGGCAAAGCTCCTCCTAGAAAATAGGTCTCTCATCATCAACAACCGGTCCATAGACCCCAGAAAAAACCCATCTGAAATTATTCTCTTCCATCTTAAACTCACATATGATAGAAAATCTCCCCATCCACACATCCATTCTAGACAACCATCTGCTGTCCCATATAACTAAAATTCCACCCGAAGTACCTATAGCATCCAAAACCTCCCAATCCACAAACCTTCATCCCCACAAACTCTTAACCACCCCGTCAGAAATGGATGCCAACTTGGTTTCTTGCAAACAAACAACCTGGGCCCCATTTCCTTAAGGCTACCTTCACCATCCTCCTCTTATTCGGGTCATTTAGACCACAAACATTCCAAGTAATAATTCGTAACTTCATTAAAACCAGATAAGATTATCTCCCCTCCCCCCTTCTTTAAACTCCTGCTTCTAGTCCTTCCCCTTTCCTTCACCACCCCTTTCTTGCCTTCATAGTTAACATAAGAGATAAGATTCTTAACTTCCTGTGCCTCTTTCCATGACGATAAAGGCCCGGTGTTCATAACCTCATTAGTCACTGCAATCTCTCTTCCTTCCACTATAGCTTGAAGAATAGATAAAGTCTGGTCGTTATTACCCTCTGATGAGACACCCAACAACTCGCTAGTGACTCCTGTATTATCAACCACCCAGTCCTTTTCCATATCTGCATCCATACCAGAAAAGCAAGGTCGCATAACAGCCAAAGGTTCCACATCAGAACATTCATTTTTCAGCCAAGGGTCTAGCTTATAAGAGTAAACCTATTGGATGGAACCGAGATCATCATCATCTTCAGTATCTCCTCCACTCTCAAACACCGAACCTGTAAAAAAGTCGTCTACTCCATTACGCAAAGATCTCACAGGCTCATTCTCCTCAGCCCCTGCAAGTGGCAAACAATTAAAGCCTTCCAAGGCTACACGCAGACGGAGCTCTTTGAACAAAACCGAAGCCTCGTCATTAGATAACTGAAAATGGAGGTCTCTCCCCATGCGAACCGTGACCCCCTCCGGCATATCCTTATCTGCACAGGCCGCCGATTTAACATGCCCGATGAAAATAGACCCAGAGGCAGCCTTCCATTCCCTATTATACGTTGATAACTCACGGCTCTTCTCTGTTTCCACCTCAGCATCACTCCTCCTCACCCCACAAGGAGTAGAAGAAGAAGGAGAAGCAACATAAGAGCTTCGATGGTTGGATTGTTGATAGGAATCCATTTCTACTTATCTTTTCTGGACCACCTATATCCTTTGCGATGACTGAGGGAATCCCGAGATGAAAAGCGAGGAAATATTCCCTTCGACAGTGCAATGTCAGTAACAGATTTTCCTGTAAAATCAGCGCAGCACTTGGTATAGCGAAAGATCTTCTCATCAATTCATACCCCAGCCTCATCAGCACTGAATTTCATCCACCTCCTTTCCTCTGGTGAGGTCCAAGAAGTTACAGAATTACCTTGGAGACGACGACTTTGCTGTGGATGATCAAAGATGCTGGGTTCCATGGTTGGGTTGGGCTTGGTATTTAGAAAGGATATAGAGATAAGATTATTGGGCCCCATGAAACCTTTCTTTTGAAATCAGTACATTCTTGTGGTCCAACTCTGGACTTGGGCTTAGAATGTGGGCTTTCATTCAAAAAGGAAATGGATAATTGGTTATTGGGCCCCCTATTCCTGCCCTCTTCAAATCATTTGTAGCTTGTGGCCCATGATTTAACAGCCCATTAATTGTAGCAGGCCCATACCTCTCATCACGTCCAAACTTTGGCCCAACAACGGCCTTTGCTTGAGTGGCCTCTGGGATGCCACGTGCCCGTCCACGTGGTTAGCCTCCATTAAGGCGATCATCATTAAGATATGAAAGGCGCTGATTAAGGGCGTTATAATCACGATTCTTATGCTTGCCTTCCCCACTCGCTACCAGCGCGTTAACAATGACTCGCCTCTTACCTTGGTGACCAAGACGGATCTATAAATTCCGGCGATGTCCAGTCATTACTTCGGATGTGAAGTAGGGGCCCTCATCCACACCATAGTAGGACTTTTGGAGGATGGTAGGAGAGATTTCCTCTAGCAGATTGACTTTGAAAGCCACATGCTGATCTTCAATGAAGACAAACTCCGGCAAAATTTCTGCAGCAGAGACATATAGAAGAACTCTTTCACCGCTTGCCAAAACGTCTGCCTCCGTGCCTCTAAATCCTCCACATAAGTCTCCAATGGCTTCGAACAACTTATTACACCACAGATGGAGGGGCAATCCAAACAACAACACCCTTCGTATCTTTTCTCGATTTTCCACTGCTGAACAACACACTGCAAAATACCATATATCGATGGCTAATATGGCATCGCCCCACCGTTACCTCCCTTCATCCAAGACCCTTAGCGCCTCAGCCTCCGATGGAAACTTGAACAAGAGTAGGCCGTCGGGTAAGGATGAGACTTTCACCCCACATGAAACCTTCCAAGACTTCGTCGCCCACGCCTCGATCCCTTCTATACTTCCCACATCTCGATCAAAGCGGCCAACCAAGCAAGATCTTAGAGCAGATTCTCGATCCTTGATACTTTGATGATCAACCCTAAAAACCATGTCATTGCCGATGGAACAGCTTTTGATTTCTCCATGGAAACTGAGGCGTGGTAAACTCGCCACTGTAAGATACAAGTGTTGCATAACACGAGTCCCTACTTGAAGTCAGAAATCAGCCAACAAAAAGAGCAAGGCGCCGGAGTGAAGGACTCCGGCGTCAAAAAAGATAGAAAGAGGAGAGAAAAGTCAACCATGGTCAACCCTTCGGCGTACATGTTATTGGAGTCTGCCATTATAATAATACTGTAATTGTATAATACATTTAGGTTTTATTTATTTTTTCTTATGCATATGTGATTGGTACTCGTTAATTGATGAACATGACCTGGAGTAATAATGTCATTAAAGAGATATGTTTATTCTCATTTGATTTACTTTGACTCATTGATGTATTACTTGTACACACGAGCACGACGTGTGCACACATGAGCAAACTAAAGATTCAATGTTTTGGTTTGTTCTGATACATGTGACTGTTTCTCAGTAACATGGATACTACAGCTATGGAGCAAAAACTGATGATTCAGATGTGCGGACAACTTCTCAGTACTCAACAAAACATAAAAACACATTAAATTAGATCACTTACATGATATAGTGGCGAATCTCTCAGACTATAAAGCACAATAGCCATCTCTGGGGCTGAAACAGTACACGTCCACATGATGGATTTTGATTCAATTGACGACGGCCTATCAAGATTAGTATTTTGTTCCTGAAGCACCATTTTCTTCTTTTTTGAGGACTGCAGGTGCATCCATGGCTTTAGTCTACTCATTATTATCTTGCACTGAGTACCGCCAAGCTTAACATCAATTTCAGATCGGATAGGCGAGATAGGCTGAAAAGCAAAGCATCTTAAATATGTAAATCAAATGATAACACAAAATTAAACATACAAGGCTAACTTGAAGGTTAACAAAGATCACGTGTGCATGAATCCATGTGTACAGATATTGCATATTGTACCCCAGCAAAAATAGCTATCTTTTGAGTCAAAATATATATTTGATAGCTGCGTTTAGCTAACTATACTTATTTCTACAAGTTACTAATCTTCGTGAAGTTTACAAATCAGCTGAAACTGTGACAAGTTACAACACAGTACACCCAAAATAAAATTTTCCATATCGATAAATCAAAAAGACCTCAACAGACGAAGATACAACCCCTTGACAAAATAGAAATGACTTTTGTGAATAATGCCAGTTATGCTAACTGCACTGAAAGAACCAGTTGTAATAGCACAAATATTTTTTGATAAGTTGTAACAGCACAAATATCAATGATATAAAGGATGCATGCCCAAGCTGAAATGACCAAAATTTAACTTTTGAAGTCAGCTAATTGATTCCCTTGTATCAGTCAACCTGGAATGTCCAGAGAGTTTAACAGCTCAAAGGATGCATGCCCAAGTCAACATATCCACTTGAATGGTAAACTGCCTTGACCAAACATGTCAACTGCCCTGTGTGCAAGTAGACTGTTAAAGCACTGAACTCAACCTAACGGCTAGTTCAGCAGTCCCAAAGCAACCCATTTGCAACTAATGGCTACATCATTGAATGGGGCTATAAGTACACCTTGTGACGATCTTCCATACGACAGAGAGAGATAACACTCAACTCTCTTAGCTCTTTGAAATACATATTCATATAGAGAGAGATTAATGGAAGAGTGTGATACAACTTGAGAACAGTGTGGAGAATCATGCTCCCACTTACATATATCACACAAGAGTGATACAACGAGATATCTCTACATATTTTTGTTCAAATTCTACCACTGTGCATACATTTTTTCCTTGGCAAGAAACTCATGAACCCATTTGCCCCAATGGAAGAGTGTGATACAACTTGAGAACAGTGTGGAAAATCATGCTCCCACTTACATACATCACACAAGAGCGATACAACAAGATATCTCTACATGTCTTCATTCAAATTCTACCACTGTGCATACATTTTTTCTTTGGCAAGAAACTCACGAACCTATTTGCCCCTATGGGGTCTTGAACCCTCACCATTCACTTTGGAAGGTAGAGGAGATACCATTGCATACATTTCTTCTTCTATTTTCGGTAGAAGCTACCATGAGCTTTTAAATTGCATATCTTTCATCATGACTAGCACCACTATTGAGATTTATCATTCATATTCATGGCTAGCACCACTATTGAGCTTTATCATTCATATCCTTCATACTGGTTCTTCAAATCCAAGAGATGAGCTTTCACTCGAGTATCTGTTGAATTTACTCTAGGTATATGGGCAGAAATTGTACAAATCCATCAATTGAGAGATAAATCTTTGTACACCCAAGGCTTACTACTTTCAACCTTCATATGAGAAAACTGTGGCTCACTCCCAGCCCTTGTGTGAGAGGCTTCAGGCTTACACTCAGCCTTCATGTGAGAGAACTGTGCCTTACGCTCAGCCCTTGCGTGAAAGGCTTCAGGCTTACACTCAGCCTTCATGTGACAGAAATGTGACTTACTCTCAGCCCTGAGAGGCTTCAGGTTTACTCTTTACCTGCAAGAAGAGTCCCAACATTTGATTGGGCGGAATATCCTTGAGGGCTTCGCTTGAGGCGAGGATGCAGGTGACTTACCGAGAAAACTCGTGTCAGTGTCTCTAACCCTTAAACTGTGATTTTAATTAGGCCTTCTAATCATGTTTAGTGATTCTTAATTGTGCTTAGTGGCTCTTAATCGTGCTTAGTGACTCTTAATCATGATTAGTGACCTGTAATCATGATTAGTAGCATTGGGTATAAAGTATGATTTATTGAAGTTATGGGATTTTATTTGGAGGCATTTGTGTGATTATTTAGTTGGTCAAGATCTGACTTGGCCTAACATCTGGTCTTATATCCCAACCCTGAGTCTTCCTAACACCTGGTCTTATATCCCAACCCAAGAGACACATGTCTCTGCACAACCTTACACCTGTTGCTGCCTTCCTTTTGTTACAGCACAAACCAAAGGAAAAGAAAGAGAAAAACAAGAGGGAGAACAAGGAAGAAAGGGAAACAGGAAGAAAGTTGTAGGATTCCTTCTTCATAGTATCTTCATCACTCTTGGGTAGGGTTCTTTATAGCTTGAATGGCTTGGAGTGATTTTGCTTCAAATCTATTTATTGACTATGAAAATAATTGTTTTGCTTAAATTGCATATACGTATTTTGCTGATATATTCGCAGGCATATGTATAGTTTGTGAAGCTTATTATTCATGAAACCTCTTTGAAATTCTTGTTATGATTTTTCCTACTGGGATTTTGTCCCACCCCACCATTTTTCAAGTACAAAGGTCCAAGTGGAGGAGTTTGTGCGCTGATCTGTTTTGATATTTGGAGCTTACCTTAACCATGTGTTTTAGGTTGTAAGCTGTTTTGTGAGGTAGCGCATCAGAGTAGCTCAACGGTCATTTGATGTATGACACTTGTATATTCTATGAAGATCATTTGATGTAATTGAGGATTATTAATGAAATTGATGTATTTTGAATTCGGGTCGTTACATAAACTCCTTTACTTTACTGTCCAATGATGTTCATGTATTTTAAATGCATGTGTACGAATGTGAAATTTTAGAGTAGGTTTGATGCATGTTATCTTTTCTCTGTTTAGATGTATGTTAAGGTTAGATGCATGCTAGGATTTTATTTCACAAGTCTGGATGTCTGAAAGACTTAATTTGCTAAGTTTATGTACAGCACCTTCTGTGTAATTATATGTACACACACACACACACACACATACATGTATACTTTGTGTGAAAGCATTTCATCACCACAAATCAAAAGAATTGAATCAACTAAGATAAGAAGTAGAATTCATGATAAGCACGCTAAACAAGTCGAGCAATCTTGAACCAACCTTAGCCTCAAACATCCCTTGTTCATCACCAGACAAATCAACCTTAGCAAGCCAAGCAATCAAACATAATAGCATACCAATAACCGGCTGTAGGAACTTCCCATAGACTACCATCCTTAAGTAATCCAAATAGCCATAACCATTCTAGCCAGCCAAGTCTAATAACCAGCCTTAGGAACCTTTCATTAAACTACCATCTAGGTCTCCCCAACCTTAGTACTTACTGTAGGAGCTCATCCTTAGAAGAACACTTAGATGCTGTTTGATAAAACTGAAAATTAAGCACTGAATATTTCGAGTACTAAATTTTTTTTTGATAGGTAAAAATAACATTACAAAAGGTGTTCAAAAATATTTCGAGTACTAAATTTGAGGCGCTAAAATTAATGTATTAATCTGAAAACTTGTTTGATAATGTCTTAATTTTAAGCGTTGAATTCATTAAGACTGTTGGTCATATACAAAAGCTGAAGTCTGAAAGTTGTACAGATTACATTTTTGCCCTCATTATTGAGTACTCATAACAGTTTAAAATTAGATAACTTTGGGCACTACAGAAGGGAAGCTTCAAAGCAGCGACTTCCATACAATGAATCAGCTTGGTGTTGTACTTTTATTTCTTACCAAGCAACATAAATAGAAATGAAAAATTAAAATATATGGGCTCAACATGGATGTGTTAATATAATTATTTTTTTTTTTTTCTGCATGATAATATTAATGTAACTCATTGTGTATTGGAAAGGCTATATTTGCTGGTGTTAAAAGATTAAATATAGTATGTAAGGAAGATTATAATGATTAACATTTTAATCAATTTGACTTCCATACAATGAATCAACTTGGTGTTGTACTTTTATTTCTTGCCAAGCAACATAAATAGAAATGAAAAATTAAAATATATGGGCTCAACATGGATGTGTTAATATTATTATTATTATTATTTTTTTATCTTTCAAAAAAATATATTAATGCTTTTTTTTTCTGCATGATAATATTAATGTAACTCATTGTGTATTGGAAATGCTATATTTGCTGGTGTTAAAAGATTAAATATAGTACGTAAGGAAGATTATAATGATTAACATTTTAATCAATTTGGGATATAACCAAAAGGCTATATTTGTCATGTTAAAGATGGTGCATAAGGAAGAATATATATATATATATTATATATTTTATAGAACTTTGTTCTAGCTCATTCTCATAAACATTTGAATTAAAAACTAACAACCAACCCAAAAAAAAAAAAAAAAGATACATACATTTTAATCAGCTATACAAATAACACAAAAATCTCATGAAGAATACCAATATCAAAACACAAAAATCAAAAGAAACATCAAGAAAAATTCAAAAATAAGAACTCACTTGTAATCCTCTATTTTCACGCAAGAGAACTCATAGAGAAGCCCTAGAGAGGCAGTAGAGAGAGAGTCTATAGAAGGGTTCACACTTCGTAAGTGTTAGCAGATATGATAGCCACGATTTATGGAATGACTTACCATATTAGCAAAGATTTGATTATGCTATAGAATATGCCATAGAAGCCCTAGAGAGGCAGTAGAGAGAGAGTCTATGGAAGGGTTCACACTTCGTAAGTGTTAGCAGATATGATAGCCACGATTTATGGAATGACTTACCATATTAGCAGAGATTTGATTATGATATAGAATATGCTTCGATTTTATTTAGATTTGATTTAGATTTCCTTTCTTGTAATATGAGCATGCGCTCTTTTATCTATAAATACTAAAGCTATGAATGAGTGATTTATCTCATTCAAGCCTTTACACAATTCTCTCATTTTTCTTCTTTTTATATTTCTACTGTAAGAGAGAACGTGACGTCTTAGGCTCTCAACATTCTGATTATTTGAGGTAAAATTGTCATTAATAAAATATTTTCAAAACCTAATCACTTACTGTCTTCTGCAATTAGCGATAAGCAACCTTCCTGTCGCTTAAAATTTTGGCCCCTTTTAAGTGGTACTTATTGCGCTATCCTAAATCTTTCTCAAACGCGCTTATTTTTTAAAATCGCTTACCGTCTTTGGTATTAAGCTGAATGAGGTAATCAAACAGTGCCTTAGGTTCTGTCAACCTTGGAACACTGCCTTTAGGATCCTGTAGATAATTCCGCAAAAAGACCCATAGTTTGTTATTGACCAATTCACCCCCCTCTCCGGTCAATATCTAGGCAACACTTCCCCATTGGAGATTTATAAGCATGAGACAGGTAAAGCTAAGAGATAATATTACCAACAACATATCTAGTAAGAAAGGAAATCACCAACCTTAAGTGAGTTTTTAAGGGTTTGAATAGTTCTTGTTGAAGGATTTAAATATTAAAATTACACTCCCTCAAATAGCTTAAGCTTGTAGAGTAGATGGTTGTTACCATGGTATCAGGTAAGGTCCTGACTTCAAACCTCACCGTCACCTGATTAAAATTGAAACACGTGTTGGACCAAAAGAATGCCACACGTAAGGAAGCATGTTGAAGGATTTAAATATTAAAATTACACTCTCTAATATCTTAAGCTTGTAGAGTAAATGATTGTTAACAATTCTCATAATTTTGAGGTTAACACCCAAGCATCATCAAGAAGTACATATTTGCTTTTTTCAAAAAACAATATATATATATATATATATATATAAATAATAAAAACAGTATGCCATAGCTCCTGAGCTCTAGGAACCTAAAGAGCTAGGTTCCGTCTAGGGTTCTAATCCTAAGGGCTACATAACTTAATCCTAAATCCCACCACATTCCACCCCAACCCAGCAGTCCATCACCATTCCCACCTCCATCCCATCCAAATCACCTCATATATTCTTAAGGTTACAACAGACATATGCCAAACAAACAAACAATGCTCCCATTCTCACTACACAAGCAAATCTTTGATCCTAATAGCTACACATATTGGACTTACAATATAGACAAAAATATATCTGGTCGTTCACCAAGGCCACTTGGACATTGATATGTCTAAGTAACAATGATGAAGACAATTGCCAGTTTGGTACTTTAGAAATGATGCTGATGAGAGAACTTTCCACCTTGTAGCGTACATCAAATATCTTTCAACAAAATATGACATGTACAGAGAAGAAGCAAATAAATAATTGCAAATTGGCCAAAAAAAACATGCTGTTAGTTGTAAGCCATGACAGTTTCACACACGTACCTGTAATGGAACGTAAACTGAAGAAACAACATCAAGTTTCAGTATCTCCACAACAGAAATGCCAGCTTCTCTAAGAAGCTACAATATGAAAGAGAGATCATGTGAATAAAAATAACCAAACCGAGAGTAAACTATAATATCAAAAGGGGCTAAAAATGATCAACTGTTACATCCATACATGAATCTCACTAAAATCCATTTGAACTTCGAGGCGTGTACTCTCCCCCACGTCTTCAATAGACCGGGATTTGATGCTTTTCAATTCAATGCCCATGATGTTATTCTCGACAGCAAGATCATGTCCCCGATGCACAAACCTCACATCCAATTTGGGCAAATTGAAGGAAAGCTATTAAACAAAAATAACAAACTTGTCAACTTACTTTTAGACCAGCTTATAAATTTCCCATACTTGTCAACTGTAATACTTCAAAGGAATATGTTGTACAGCTTTTGTGCAATGTAAATCAAACATAGAAATCACTAGTAGAATCAGGAATCAAGAAAGATGCTCGAGTATATATACTTAAAATTTACTCTAGCATTCCAATGAACGAATGCATATACTCTTGAAACAAGCTCATCCCACAACCAAGAAAAATGCAACTAACACCATCGTACTATATAAGCTCAATACTAGTTGAAAACAGTTAAAGATAAGGCACAACATAAGACTAATGTTTGAACATAAGGCAGAAAAAGGTCACAATTAGAGGCAGTGTCCAAAACAAATGCATAGCACAATTCAGTTGCTTAAATCAATTATTAATAAATAAAAAATTAACAAATATTTTGGTGCTTGAAGAGCTATTTTACTGCATGCAATCCAGAACTAACCCAAAAGCTCAGCAAGGTATCAATCCCTAATAGTGCACAAGTATAGGTTCCTACAATGGATTTACTTATATGAAGACTGTACCATTCTCCAATAAATTAGATCAGCAAAAAGAATGCATTTGTGCAGCCAATAGCCCAGTTAGATATATGCAATCATTAATGAATCAATTGTTTACTCATATACAATCAGAAGAAATGTTGAAAAATGCTACTAAAAAAGAGAAAAACAGTGGTCCACTTGTTTCCAGCACCATCATGTGAGAGAGAGAGAGAGAGGTTGAACAAAAATAGAAACAAATAAACAAAAATTTAAATTATACCACTTCTACCAGGAAGGAAGTCAGGAATTTTGTTCAGCCAGGGGGAGAAGGGGGGGAGGGGTTTTTTTTTATTATTATTAGAACTAACAAGACAATTATTAGTCAGCAAACCAAAAAACAAAAGTGTGGTGCAGTTATCAAGACTCAAATAGTATCTCAGTGTTCACAAAAAAATAGGGTGAAGAAAAATTAAAAAATATAAAATACAGACATTAAGTTTATAAAATTAAAGTAATAAATTAGAAGAAGAAGATAGAAAAAGAATAAGAAGAGGGGGAAAAAAAAGTTACAGTACATATATAATACATGAGCAAGAAGAAATTTTAAGAAAATTTGAAGAAAAAGGAAATGAGAGACACTTTGAAGTGGAAAATTAAGGATTTGATTGAAGAGGAATACAATTTTTTAAAAGAGTATAAGAGGAATCTGAAGAAAAAAGGAATAAAAGAGAAAATAAAGATAGAATTAGGAGGATACTAGAGTATGGTATGTGCTCATACCATACTCTAGTATACCTCTTCCACAGTCATTTGATAAATTATAAGATCAAAATTGTTGCAATGGCAGAGAGAGAGAGAGAGAGAGAAACACCCATTTTTTTTCTAATGAATCATGAAGCTCCTTAAATGTGTCTTTAATCGAAAATATGCCTAAATTCAATCAGTCACTGAATCATGAAAATGCTATAGCTGAAAATGGAATACCCGTGGGAGGCAAAGAAAAGGTCAAAAAGAACAAGAAGGAAATGCAGCTAGCCACATAACTACTGTGTAAAACCCACTGACCTTTTCTGGGAACATGGAAGCGTACTTGGTAAGTGACAAAAGTGCTGTCTGTTTTTTATGAGGCTTTTCAGCAGAGGCAGACTCAACAGTAGACCCTATAACCTCATCAGTATGATAAAAGGAGTCAGATGAAGTCTTCTTTTTAAGAAACAGCTCCTCATTTAAGTTCACAGCAACTTCTCCGCTGGTAATATCCATGTTCTTTATAATTATACCTTCTTCCCTGGAGCCAGAAGAATTAAACGAGAAAGATTGAGTTGAACCAATCACTGTCATGATCACACTAAAAATAACTTTTTTCTTTAGTTTCTTCTGGGGTGCAGTGCACAGATGAATGGTTTAAATACAATTATGATAAAGAGCACAAAATTTGCAATTTCAGCATAATAGTAAAATTACCATAGTTATTTATTTTTATGAGCTAGGGTTAAGATTAGAGACCTTCAAATCCTGGTAGATGCCCAGACAAACAAGTTTTTTGTCTATTACAACCACGGATGACCAATTCTTTCCTTTGACTTTTTAAGATTTTTTTTTCTTCAAAAAAAGATGAACTGAAAGTGTGACTTAAACCCCGTACAACGTCAGATCTAGATACCAAAACTGTAAAACACCAGTGTTAAAAGATCAAGATAGCCAGTCTCATAGAGATTGACTGATCAGCTTCTTAGTTTCAATCAATTAAAAACCAGAATATAATTAACTTAGAGAAAGAAAAACAGTTGGACCAAAAACTGGATAGTTTCAGCAGAAACATAAAATAGCTAGAGAGCTGTTGGGATACCATACAACTTTAAGTATAGATAGAACCTAACTGCTATGGCCTTAAACAGGAATCTAAATCTCTCATAGAGTGTGCATCAGAAATTTAACTAAGTTGGAAACCAAAACAAAAACTAGATTAGCAAGCCAAATTAGCTTTATCACAAACTAAATCAAATCAAGAACGTAATTCCCAACACTAACTTGAGCAAGGCAACTCGCTGGATTTTCAAATCCTTATTTTAGACCCGACCCTTCATTTTTGGACCAATGGTCCAATATTTCATAAAAATAATCCAAAGAATACTTCATTTACTTAAAGATAACTAAAACTATCTCATTTAGATCCAAATTTGCTCCAAGTTGCTGGGAGCAACACTGAATAATGACATTTAAATAGCAATGCTTGACCAGCCCTTTCTTGATCAAATTGAGTTTCATTCTACCACAACCATACCAATTCTGTTAGTTCACATCATTGTAATCACACATTGACCTCAATCACCCAATTTTTAATTTTTTTTTTTAAAAAAAAAAACAGAAGAGGAAGAAGAAAAAGAAAAGACAAATGTTCATTATCAGCTTCCAACCAAAACCTGTCTACATTATCTCAAAATATTAATTTCAAATTAAACAGAAAAGAATAAAGAGGGAAATTTATCAGCATTGGGCTATCACAAGCAAACAAAAGCAGAATTTGGTAAATTTCCGAATTAAAATTTTTATAATTCAACCAAGGTCTTCAAAACATGAAATTGCAATCAATTTGGAAGTCTAAACTGAACTTGACATTATCCAGTTCCAGAATATCAGCCAAATTTGGAAAAACCATTTTTCGTTTTTTTATAAGAAAAAATGATTTTCTATTACACCAACTTTAATAAAATAGTAAAGAGCATGTGTGATGCACATAAATACGGAGGACCAAAAACAATTATATAAGAATACTTTTTATTTTCTTTCATAGTTTCCATTTATGAATTCAGTTTTCTTTTTCTTTTTTTGATAAGTTATAACATTATTGTGTTGTATTTATGAATTCAGTTTTCTCATGAAGTATCATTAGACTTGAGGTGTTTTTGTCAATGTTTATTGGACTTGAGACATGAAGTATTCATTTAATTAACAATAATTCATTTTCAACTACTCCCTTAAGAAAACTCAAAGCACAACTCAAAATGTTCAATTGTCTTTTCTTTTCCAATATTTTCTCATCAACCAAACATCAAATAAAAATGTGGTTGAGGCTTTGTTTGGGATTCAGTGGGTTATGTCGAGGTCCTACAGAAATTTGGTTGAGGCTTGGAGAAGCTGTATAGTGGGACCCAAGTTCGGGATTTTTGGCGGGTTGCGCCTTTTTGCGTCTGGTGGTGCTTATGGCTTGAAGGAAATAGGAGATCCTTCGAAGGCAAGGAGAGTCCTATTGGGGCATTGAAGTTCTCCATTATTAGCACTCTTTTTTGTTGGGCTCTTTGGAGAAATTGTACATCCATGGAGGAAATAGTTGATTTTTTGGACTCTTTGAGAGTTTAGAGGCCCCATTTGGCTTTTTCTTGTGAGGGATGCAGTCCCCATTTGATCGCTTCTTTTATACAATTATTACTTATCAAAAACAAAGTTTGGCTAGACTAAGTCCAGTGATTTTTCTGCTTTATTTTATTATTCCTTTATATGTTTATATGATAGCAATTGAGACACGAATAAAATTACTAACTGAATTTTAAACGAGGGTTAACGGTGACTTAAAAAGTAAGTTAGTTGCAAATCAACATCCATAATAACATCCATAAGATTAATTAACCGCTCTTACTCTGACGTATCAGAGCCTTGGGTAACAGTCCCTCAATATTTTTATCACTTCCCAGAGTGAGAATTGCCTTTCAGGATTGGGAGATTGATGAGGCAATTCGTCTCTTGGAGTTGTTATATCGCCAGAGGATTGTGGTGGAGGATTCGGATTGTTGGTATTGGGTCGCAAACTCCAAGGGGCGTTTTGAGGTGAGGTCTTTCTTCAAGTGCCTCTCTTTTGATCCTGGAGTTCGTTTTCCTTGGAAGTCTGTTTGGCGTTCTAAGGCTCCTCTCAAAGTGGCTTTCTTTGTGTGGACTTCGGTTCTGGGTAGGATCTTAACCCAGGATAATTTGAGAAGGAGAAGCCAGGTGGTGGTCAATCGTTGTTATATGTGTCTTCGTGATGAGGAATCTGTGGATCACCTTCTTATTCATTGCTCTTTGGCTAGAGAGTGTTGGGATTTGATGCTTGGCTTATTTGGGTTTTATTGGGTTATGCCAGGATCTACTAGAGAGTTGATTGAGATGTGGAGATGTTGCCATGTGGGGGCACTCAGTCAAGATGCGTGGAGAGCTACGCCGCTTTGTGTGTGGTGGTGTATTTGGCTTGAAAGGAATAGGAGATACTTTGAAGGAAAGGCGATGTCGATTTCAGTGCTTAAATTCTCGATTTTTTCAACTCTTTTTTGTTGGGTTTCAGGGAGAGATCATAGATCGTTGGGGGAAATTGTTGATTTTTTGGCCTCTATGAAGGCTTGAGTCCTTTGTGCTCTTTTGTATTTCCTTGGGTTTCGCTCCCCTCTTGAGCATCTTTTAATAATATTCTTTTATTTATCAAAAAAAAAAAAAAAGATCCTAGATTTTTATTGTAATATTCGATGATTTTATTATGCATTTTAATCTTGCTTACTGATCTTTAATCATGATTAGGGACTTTTAATCACGCTTAGTGATCTTTGATCACGTTAGTGACCTTTAATCATGCTTAGTGACTTTTAATCATACTAACTGATTTTTAATCATGATTAGTTTTTTTTTAATCATACTTAGTGTGTAAATCAGCTTTAATGATGGGGTTATGGAATAAAAGAGAGTTGGAGGGGTTCTTTGCTAACTTTACAGCTTTGGGGCCATGTATCTTTACCATGTGAAAGCTGTAAACATTTGGGTGAGTCATCTCCTGCATATGTATAGACTGCCAGCATAACTCACACAACATCTGGACATATAGGTGTCTGTGTTCATTAAATATAATGCCAAAGACTTCCTTTGGAGGGATTGGAACTTACACAACGGACCATCTCAGAAGACAAATATATGTATAGATGTAGCCCAAGGTTTAAGGAAAGGGAAAAGATACAACAAAATCAGGAGCTATAGATGAGACTTAACAAATCATATAACAGGTAGGCAAGTTTCATATTCTACGTTCTACAATCTACAAAGAGACTCATTGTTTATTTTTTACATTACGGTCCCAAGTATCTGTTCATGCCTAAAAATTATCTATTTTACTGATTTATGTTAAAATTGAGTTGTTAAATTTCATGAATTGAAGTGGTACTTGATATAACTGCTAACCAATCTGATATTTTTAAATTAAACATGTTCTATAAGTATGTAGTAGTAATTCAAATGTTATTTGAATACTGAATTGTGAAAATTATTGTTCTATTGGAATTACTACAGGTTCTATATGGTTATTGATTTGATTTAAATTTGTAATTGAAATGAAAGACAGGTTTGTGTCTTGGGTTGACAAAAAATGAAACTGAGACTGAGTTGTGGTGCTGGGAACTGTTTAGCAGATCTGAACAGACTGTGCCATTTATTTTCATACGAGGGGCACTGTCCCAGGGTTAAAGGGTCCCTAAAAGGAAACGAAGACTTATGCAAGGGGCACGGTCCCAGGGTTAAAGGGTCCCTAAAAGGTTTTAAAGGTAAATGAAAATCATGGACAGTTACATATAAAGGATCTTGGTAAGGGTCCTAGTGGTTTGATTAATATCTGGGGAGTATTTCTTTGATTTATCACTTCATATTTGTAGTTGTTGTTACATATTCTATTACTCACTAAATGTTGTTCTCTATTTAGTTTTGTTTTGCATATTAGGTTGTCTTAGAATTTAGAATAGCGTTATTTCTCTATTTGGCTTTATTAGCTCACCCCTTTATTTGTTCCCCTCCCAGATTCCGTCCAAGGTGGAGGCTAGAAGTTGATTTCATGCTTGGGACTTGATGCTTTCTACTCACATGTTTGCTCGACTCACATGCCTAGAAGTAGAAGAGCTTTTGTGTGTTTTGTTGTGTATATATTAGCTTTTGGTCTGGAACAGTTGGTGTTGTAAAATAAAAGGCTCCTCTATGTGAGTCTTGTAAGTTGGAAATGCTATGTATATTAGAACTTAACCATGTGACAGTTGTGTTTGTGAACTGGGAATGAAATATCTTTTCGTTTCAGATTTCTGAATATAGCATTTGGTTATGTTGGTTTTGGTATATCATATCCCATTGTTTTCAAAGTATCAAAAACTATGTGGGTATATTGCTGAAATTTGGAATTAATGAACCTTTTCATGGAAAATTATCTTTTCAGAAATTTGAAACATGATTGAAGAGAGTAACATGATTATTTTTGGAAAGTAAACTCACCTAGTTTTTTCTTAAATCCCTAAATTCATTTAATCACACCTCGGGTTTCGAGTCTAAAAATCCGGGGCGTGACAGAATCTTTCCTTATTTTTCTTTTTTTTTTTCTTTTTTTTTTTGAAACTTTTGATCTTGCTAAGTACATTTTTCAATTTTATAAGCATTTTTCTTGGTCGAAACCGACTTGGCAACTCCAACTCATAGAATTTATGGATAATACTCCTAATTCCACAAGGAAGATTTAATGTGCTCAAACACACACTTCTATTGATAAGTTTTTTTTCTCTCTCTCTTGTATGGATTAATTTGAAAAATATTTAAAATTCAAGACATGCACTTTTTAGTTATAAAAAAGTGTAACTTCTAATTCAATAACTTCCTATGAGGGAAGGAAGGGGGAGAGGAGGAACCTTCTATTTCAAATAAACAAAACCTTGTCAAAAGCTACAAGAAAACTGGAAAACAAGTCTCTTAATGTTGAGAAATTCTCATAAGATTCCAGCAACAAATCTAGAACTACTACATTTTCATCGTATTGACCATAGGAACTTGACCAGAAGTCTATTTTAAGTTTCCAGCAAATAAAGGAAAATAGAACACACAGTATTCAATATCATCCAGGTATACAACCAAGGCAGAAAAACACCTAGATTGAAATCCATAAAGCAAGTAAAAGATGAAGAATAATGAGATCCAGCTTTTACAAAGAAAATAAAAGAAAAGAAATTTGAAGAAGATGAAAGAAAATGAAGAGAAACCAACCTATTATGACCAAATTCACACGAAAAGGAGAATTCTTCACAGATGAAAGGGGCAGATGCCTTTTCTGTCATGCCAGAAAATGCCTGGCTAGCTGAAATGCATCCATCGTGGTTGAAGTTGGATGATTGATCACAACTAACCCGTGGCTCACCCAAGTGAACAACAATAGGCAAAAGGTGTAGCTTAACAAACAAAGCTGGCTTGGATCCACCATCTTTAGATATATACACTCCCAGTTCTTTAACCTCGACGGTAGCTTTGGGTGTCTGCAACATTTCGTAAGACAATTACAACATTCGAAAAACCTTCTGGCATAAAGATACGGTGAATAATATAAGAAATCCAACGAGTGTGTGTTCAACAACAGTGAAAAACTGTTTCAGACCTGGACTTCTTCCCAGAAATTAAACAACACTCACTTTAGCAAGTTAGTTGTTGAAAGTAACATGCGTCAATAAAGAACATGTAATTATTTGTGGTTCACTATTTTAGCAAAACACTCTTCTTTGCTGATTGAATCGTCAATCAAAAACCACATTACAAAGGAAAACAGCACCTAGAAAATAAATTATACTTATCTATACCAAATATAAACATCTAATTTTCATGCTTCCTTGTCTATTAAAGTAAATGTATCTGTCTAACAATTTTGACTGCTGTGTACAGAATGTTGGTTCCAACATTTATAGGCAGTATGGCGTTTGGATCTGGTGTCTGCTCCATAGTGACCCCCAAGTTACCACTAGCCAAGACACGAGTTAACAACCATGAGCAATCTTTCTAACCCTTTTCCATGCAAAGGGCTGAATAAGTGATGGAGTAAACTATATCATAGCAAAGAAAGCAATAAAAAGAAAAATATAAAGAGATAAAATGATGAGGTACTATTTTCCAATAACAAAATTACCTTCACAATCAACTCTGTCACGGACACAGACAAAAACCTTGCCATGTTAGCCACAACCATCCACTTTCCTCTGCTGGAAGTGCGGGATCTGCGAGATCTACTCTTTTTTGTGCTTTTATTTGAAGGCCTCATTACAACTTCTAAATCACATATTAACACCTGCAATTTTGGGTCCCTAGAAATAAAGCCAACCCCAAGTTTAACCAAGGACTGCCGTAAGCTGAGTCTGATTTCACCAACAGATACAGATTCAATAGCACCCTGTAAATTATCAACAAGAACATAAAAGAATGATTCTGAAGAGGCAGTAATCTACTATCAGATTAAAAAAGTCAAATCCAACTCTTTCTTATGAAAGACTAAGGATGTCAATGGTAATCAAAAATAAGGAGAAGAAAGAGGGAGGAAAGGAGAGAGAGATGGAGAGATCATATATATATATGTATGTATATCTCAAACTAATTCACATAAATGAAAAAGTAATTAATAAAATGCTCAATGGTGTAAAAAGAATTCTTGTAAGAACAGTTAAAATCGGGAATCATAAACCTTTTATAGGGCTACGTACATGGTTCTCCACAGAATGTATCAGAATGTATACAGAATGTATCATAAACTTTTTATACAGAATGTATCAATTCGGTACATGAGGTGCTAATACAATGGGAAGAAAAGAAGGGATAGGAGAGACCTATGTTAGATTGGAGTTTGGTTTCAGGAGAATCTCTGTCACATATGTATTCTTGGTAAAAGGATGAAGACCATTGGTTTTTCGACTCCTTTGGTGTATATATGGACTAACATCAACCTAGGGTGAGCTTTTTGACATTTTAGCCAATGCATTGTAGTTGTAGCTTGAATTTATGAGCTAGAGACAATCCCACAGCCTCATCCTTCTCTGCCTCAAAAGTCACTCCCATGAGAACACCCACATCCACACCCTCATCCCTTACCCAATCCTCATCCCTACCGCCTCCTCTCTTATTAGCAACAACATCCACATTATTCTTTTGGGTTAATGGGACAAATTGTAAATCTTTGGGGCATCTTTTGGATTTTGTGGATAGCTTGAAATTATATTGTCGCCTTAGTCTTCTTTTGTATTCCTCTGGGAGAACTCCCCTCTTGAGCGCCTTTTACGAAATCTTTGCTTATAAACAAAAAAAAAAAAAACATGTCTTCATACAATTCCCAAGCAAATCCAGTCCACAATATAGAAGTGTACATATAAACTTAGACTAGAAGAATTTCAAACATCAAGAAAACTGTATAATCACATGATCCTTGCTGATTAAAATGAATCAACAAATATTATACATGGGCCACTGCTTACTCCTACTTAGAATAATATATATAATAATTAATAATGATAATAAAAGAATAAGAATTAAGTAAAAGACAAACCTTTTTGAACTTGACAACAACATCCCTTAAACATTTCCAACCACCAACCCGAAATGAAACGGATGCTCCCAAAATCCGGCTTAGAATCCAAGCCAACAACCTGGATGCAAATCTGAAACAAGACTTACAATAAGCAATCCAAAATGATAAATGGTCGAAAATCAAGTCAAACCTCTTAATGGTAGAATCAAAAACTAATAATCATCAATCATGCATAAATGATGGTACAATCAAAAGGCTGATAAGAAAAATTGAAAATGACAGCAAAACAATATAAGATAAATTAACTGCGTCTTTTTTAGAGAATCCAAATCAATAGATCAATGAAGCATGATTATAAGACACAATCAATTAATTGCGCAATATTTAAACAATCCTTAAAAGGGTAACAGTCTGAGTCATCTCCATTTAAAAATTAACATTTCTAACCATATGTAGCTTCCAAATGAAACTGAAGTGCCAAATAAGGATTCATGTCTCAAAATGCAAGACAAAAATTTTTATTGACAAACTTGGAAAAAAAGCAACCATAGAATGTTCTCTCTATTTTTAAGGGGTAAAAACAAATGTCTAATCTACTTCAAAAAACAAATAGTTGAATACGACGAATTCATGACCAACCCACGCCCTTGGGAAATAAAAACAAGAATACTTCTTGATGGGCTCATAACAAGTATCCTGATTTATTTTATGTCACATCATAATAATATATTGTAGTATGTCATCTACTTATACATCCTAGGATCTCCATAAGCAGCATGTTGGGTAAAGTTATGGATGCTTCTAGAAAATAGGCAAGAGGTCATGTATGGTGAAAAGTGACCAAGAGTTACCGCTCTGTTTGAACAAGCATGTAAAATGGAGCTAGTTTATGATAATAAACTCTGTGCTAATTTATTTTATATCAAACATTTTTTTTTTTTTCTTTTTGATAAGTAATATCAAACAAATTTTGGAAGTTAAATCTAATACAATATCATTGTAATGTCACCTACTTGCATATCCTAGGATGTTCTCATAAGTGCTGTGTTACATATATTTCCTGGGTACTTCTAGAAAATTGCAATAGGCCATGTGTGGTGAAAAGTAGTCAAAAATTTCCCATTATTCAAAAGGAGCATGAATTAGAAAACCATTTAAGATAATAAATGTATATTAGAGACTTGAAAAATAGGAAAACTCGCTGGTACAAGAGGGGGACCAGTTTGATACGATATAAGATATAGGATGAATACACAACAAAAAAAATAAAAAATAAATGAGTTGGGGAAATTTATTGGAGATAAACGCAATTACACAGGAAAAGATAGTAGTAATGAGTAGGGATGTCTTTCAGATGCTCCGGGTATTACTTTCCCATGGAGGGCTATTTGGCGTTCGAAAGACCCTCTAAAAGTGGTTTTTTTTGCATGGACGTCCAGGATAACCTGAAGCGGAGGAAACAGATTGTGGTCAATTGGTGTTGCATGTGTAATGACAAGGAAATGGTTGATCACCTCCTTTTCATTGTCTTATGGCTTGGGATTGTTGGATTTTGATGTTGGGTTTGTTTGGCATTCAGTGGGTTATGCCCAGGTCCTCTAGAGGCTCGGAGAGGTTGTATAGTGGGGGCCTAAGTTCGTGATTTCTGGAGGGTTACACCTTTATGCGTCTAGTGGTGTTTATGGCTTGAAAGAAATAGGAGATCCTTCGAAGGAAAGGAGAATCCTATTGGGGCGTTAAAGTTCTCCATTATAGTACTCTTTTTTGTTGGGTTTTAGGGAGAAATTGTAAATCTTTGGACGAGCTTGTTGATTTTTTGGACTCTTTGAGGATATAAAGGCCCTATTTGGCCTTGTGTAGGTTTTGAGGGATGCGTTCCCCTTTTGAACGATTTTTATACAATCTTTACGTATCAAAAATAATAATAATAATAATAATTGTATCTGTTGCGAGAAAAGGAAATAGGGTAATATAAATAAAATGTGTATTGGAAGAAGATATAATTAATATAATTGGCACTCAAGTAGGAAAGACAAATACATTAAAGCACAATTTTGAAAATACAAGAAGGAACTATTCAAGGTATAATAAGAGGTGAAAAAATATTCATAAGAGAAGGCTTGAATTGACATGTAGGAAAAGAGTGTGGATGATATGAGATGATGTATGGCAGACATGGGTTTGCATACATAAATTACATTGGGGAAGTAGCCTTATAATTTGCAATGGTGTATTTTATGATGGCGAATACATAAAAACCTTTATGCTCCATTTGAAAGGAGGGATGGTAAAATAGTGGAAGGGAGAGAGGGAGAGATGGTGGAGGCATCCCTAAGGAATGGATGATCTTCATCCCTCCTTTTGTTTGGTTGGATGGAAGAGAAGGAAATAGGTGCTATTAAGCCTATTATTGTTTCACTAATATACCCTCAGATATATAAATTCATTCATTAAAATGAGGGGAAGGTTGCCTTTTTGAATTTATCTAACATATTTGTATTTTTCTCTCCTCTTCCTCCCATTTTTGGATCGAAGCGAAATGATGGGCTAGGAGGATGGCTCGTCCCTACCTCCTCCCTTCTATCCAAATCTCCCTCCTACCAAAAATGGAGACTCATTCAATCCCTCCTCTCTTCCCTCATCCTTCCACCCTACCAAACGCCTTCCATCCTACCAAACGAAGCATTAAAGATCATGAGGTTATGATGCAAATCATTAATGGTATCTTGGTCAAGATTGAGGCAGTCAATGGTGCCTTGAAGAGTGTTTAGTCAAAGTCTATTCAATAGTAATTATGGTGTGGAAAGCTGAATATGTCCTGGGAATAGAACTTGTTATAAATGTTCTGTGGGTAGTCCAGAAGTCAGTCTAGATAGTCCAAAAGTCAGTCTAGAGAATTGAAGACTCATTAATAGTCTTATTATAAAAAGGACAGACCTCTATATTTGTTGTATTCAAGTTTAAATCAATATAATTTTGATATATTATCAGATTTTACACTTCTCTTCAGGCTTTTCCCAGATTTCCCTTTAGGAATCTAGGCTCCAACGGTGATTGGAGTATTTCTAGTCTTCCTTACTACTGTGAGAAAGAGAGTGTTTTTTCTGTTTTCTTAGGAAAGTGGTAAAGTACCATTAATGCTGTGAGGGAATTCTAAAAGTCTTTCTAGGAAATGTTAAGCGTCACTAATAGTAGTATTATAAAAAGGAAACACCTCTATATTTGCTGTAACCAAGTCATAATCAATACAATTTGAGTTATTATCAGTTATAAACAGTTACTTCAGGCTTTTCCCAGATTCCCCTTTAGAAATTTAGGCTCCGGCGGTGATTGGAGTAACCCAAGTCTTTCTTACTGTTGGAAGAAGACTTGTGTTCTTTTCTGTTTGCTTCAAGTTATTAAAGAAGAGACCTTGACCTTGCAAGATACATTAACAATTTTAGATTTATATATTAAAGAATAATCAAGAAAGAGAAAAGAGATTGGAAATCCAAGAAAAGGTGATTGAATCGAGAAACATTAAAATAAGCAACATGGAATTAAGAGGATAAGCAAATGTAATGTAAAATGGGATAATAGAATTTGTTTAAAGAATAGGAAAAGAGATTATTGAAGATTTGAAAGGAAAAGAGTCGTTCTCTAACATATGAATTAAGAGATTATTGTAGTAGACTTTTCCGGATTGCTATAGAAAGCATGCCTTGGTCGCCGACTCGTATCGGCTTGACCCCATTGAAGATGGGAGTGAGGTACAACAAGGCCATTTCTGTCCACCGCCCTTCTCACGGAGCCGTACGTGGATGTTACCACTCATACAGCTCCCAGTCAGCAAGCAGTTAGACTTCCTCTACAAGGAATGGAAGTGTGGATAAATCGACATCAAATAGAGTCATTCGGTTTTGCTTTTCAGCAATAACATGATAGCGGGGAGGACGACCTGGGATGTGTGCTTTTCAAGACATTTCCAAAACTAGGAGTTGGAAGATGTTACTGGGTTGTAGGAGATGCTGCACTGCCAAGAGGTGGATGGTGGAGTAGCTGGCTACCGAGTGTGGGTGCTCTCTTTTCAGGGGAAGTTCGATGTGCATTCGTTTTATAGAGCCCTCTTGGATGCCCCGAGGCATGCTTTCCCGTGGAAATCCGTTTGGTGCTCAAAGGCCCCCCCCTTAAGGTGGTTTTCTTTACTTGGACGGCTGTTCTGGAGAGGATTCTGACCCTAGACAGCCTAAGGAGGAGGAGACAGATTATAGTGAATTGGTGCTGCATGTGTAAGAGGAATGAAGAGTCAGTAGATCATCCCCTGTTGCTTGCACTGTGGCTAGGGACAGCTGGGGCTTGCTTTTTGGCTTTTGTTTGGAGTTCAGTGGGTTATGCCCTGGTCTTCAATAGCCATGATTGAGGCTTGAGGAGGTTGTATAGTGGGTCCCCAAGCCGAAGACTTTTGGAGGGTGCCACCCTTGTGCGTTCGGTGGTGCCCATGGAGGGAACGAAATAGGAGATCCTTCAATGGGGAAGAGACTCCTATTGGGGAACTGAAATTCTATATCATTAGTTCTCTTTTTTGTTCTGTTTGTGGGAGAAATTGTAAATCCATGGGGGAGAGAGTTGATTTTTTGGACATATTAAGAGGCTTTATAGGTGTCTTTCGGATACACCGGGGCCCCACTTTCCGTGGAGGGCCATTTGGCGTTCAAAGGCTCCTCTCAAAGTGACTTTTTTGCATGGTAATCCATCTTGGGGAAGATTTTGACCCGAGTTAATCTTAGGAGGAGACAGATTGTGGTTAATTGGTGCTATATGTGCAAGAATGATAAGGAAATGGTTGATCACCTTCTTTTGCATTGCTCAGTGGCGCGGGATTGCTGGATTTTGCTGCTGGGTTCGTTCGGGTATCAGTGGATTATGCCCAGGTCTTCCTGTGGCTTGACTGAGGCTTGGAGAGGTTCTATAGGGGGGGTTCAAGTCCGCAATTTCTGGAGGATTACATCCCTATGTGTTTGGTGGTGTGTATGGCTTGAGAGAAATAGCAGATCTTTCGAAGGAAAAGAGAATCCTATTGGGTGTTTGAAGTTCTCCATTACTAGCACCCTCTTTTTTTGGTTTGTAGATCTTTTGGGTTCATTGAGGGTT